ATTAAATTATTCTAGCATTTCTCTTTACTGCTGAGAAATTTGTGTCTTCCACTTGTCCAGTAAAGTCATAGGTAAATGACTAAAGCAATCTTGGATACATGGTGAAGTCCTAGATCTCTGTGACCGAGTCACTAGTATAAAGGACGCAGTTCTCCAGTCAGGTGTCAAGTGGAGGAGAGCAGACATCCTAGACCTCATCTCCTCCTCCTCTGAAAAACCCTCACTTGTATCAAATAAAGGAGCTTTTTTGTTTTGTTCTGACACAACCTTTGATCAGTCTTCCCATGATAAGGTATGCAACCTAAAGAGGTTGGAATGAGCTGTAGTTTTATAGTATGGCCCTTCTGGCCTTCCTTCTCTCACCTCTAAAACAAGAAATTTCTTAAAGAACAGTCACAGGAAGTGCCTATTTAAAATAAGAACATTAGGGTCTGTAAATGGTAGAATTAGCACTTGCAAAATGTGTACCCCACTGTCTGTGGTGTTTGATACACAGTTATGGAAAAAACATATTGGAAACTGTAAAAATTATTCAGGTTAGAAAGTGTTACCTAAGTGGCCTGCATCTTCACAGTAGCTAAGCAAGGAGATATGTTGCATGAAATATTACATACCTCCTTTTGGTATCTGTGATACTTAACTGACATTTCCTTTTTCTGCTCAATTTTTTTTCTGGGTACTTAATATTGTGATGTTATGATGCCACATCATCTGACAAGACTCCTCAGTCTAAAGGCAAGAACATTTCCCTCTCATAAAAAGAGCCAAGGAAACTGTTTCACTGAAAAGAGGATAGAGCCATAATAGCAGATTTCTGGAAATCTAGGAGGACCCTGGGCGACAGCTGAGGGTATCGGTGTCCTGTATACATTTCTGTGCAGGCAGTATTCTCTACTAGACAGTGTAATCTAGTGAATATAGATGTAGCATTAACAGCCTGTAGCCCTAGGTTGTTGTGTTAGCTTTATGTTTCTTTCATTGTTTGTTTCTGCAACCCTTTTGCCCTTGGACAGGAAAGATTTGTAAAAATATTTGTTCAAATGTCACAAGCTTATTACCAATGTTATCCAATTATTTATGTAGAAGCTTTCATAATCCATTATTTTTCCCGCAGAAGCTCATTGTATTTACATGGCAAGAAATTGAACTTGCCTGGCGAGTGTCATTTTAAATCAATGTATTTTAAATGACAGAAGCTTGCAGACATTCTAATTTTGGCTTAATAGCTTACTCACATTCTTGATAAATGAGTTTCTGACTGTTTAAGCCAAAGAAAACCAAGCCATTTAAAATCTAATTTAATTAAACTAGTTAAAAGTAATTTGGGCTACACTGGTAACGTTTGTATTGAATTGAGAATGGTTCTCCCATTCCCTGTGCCAGTGATGGGTCCCTGGCTTACACACTTCTATGGCTGTGTACTAGCGTAACTGACGGAAAAGTCAGGCTCCCTGCTTTGTGAAAACATCTTGACTGTTTCTTTGTGTCATTTCATACTTTTGTTTCTGGTGCTTGAATTATTTTTGGGTTTTGTAATACTGAGTTTTGTGTCACTGTATGGAAATTACAACAGTTGTTTCTCACAAAAACCCACCTCAGACTCCACTATAACTGCCTTTCTCCTTTAAGAAATTGAACCGAAATATGTGTCTAAGTGACAGACTGAGTTTTGTGTCTACACTGGTATATAGTATGTAGTTTAAACCTAGGAATATTCACTAGGATGGAATCAGGTAAATTAATTTGCTGCAAAGGCATAGCTTGCTTTTAAGTCACCAGATTTGGCTGCTGTCAAAGTTTTTCTTTTGTTTGGCTGGTCTGGCTCTCTAATTGAGCAAGAGCTATATTTTCTGGGATAAACAAGTAGGAGAGAAAATATACAGAACCCATAGGGATCTTCTCTCCTTTTCTCAGTCCGGGTCCCTCCAAACCTCCTTCCCCATTAGTCCTTCCTTACACTTCTTGACGGAGGTACCCTACTGCATGTCCTACTCTTCCTTCTCATCCAAAAGCAGGTAAACTTCATATGGATATATTTTAACTCACATCTACTTGTAGGGATGCAAAGTGCTAAGGATGAGAAGTCCCTTCTACCTCACTCAGTGTCTGCGGCACAACCCAACAACGTTTCATGGGAGAAGTGAAACCCTGCCTGCTCTACCAGCTGTTCTCACCTGGTGTTGCTCGTTACTGATATAAACCAGGATAAATGCCAAGAACTGATTATTGATACTTCGAGGCTGCAGGCCAGGAACATTGATTAAGCACTGGAAAATAAACCAACCAGCTTCCAGAAATCAGGGCAATGATTTGGAAGGAAGCTAATGCCCTGGCTGTGTCCTGCTATTGGAACAAAAAGAGACATGAGAGGAAAATACGTTTTATTTTTCAGTAACAGAGGCAACAACTGCCTGCATTTGATAATGTTTTTAAGTTAGCCTCCAAGATAGCATGCAAGTCCAGGAAGATTTGTTACCTAGTTTGAAACAGTTAGTATGTTGTTCATCTGTCATGTTTTATGAAGAAAGTGTGAGTTGAACACAGAGATCCCCCTATTCTCTTCTCCAAGGCATGAGATAACTTCATAAAAATTTCTTTTGGAACAATTGACTTAAGAAATATTTTCATACAAAACAAAAACAAACATAAAGCATCATGAGATTAGTCCTATCGAGACTGTAGAAAGGATTTGGAGATCTGGCGTTGGGTGAAAATGAGTAGCTAAGTAAATCCAAATTGATACAATTTTGGTAGGTGAAGTTACAATAGTCAAAGATGTCCCTTTATGACAAAAAAGGACATTTAGGACAAAAGAAGAGTGAATAAATTTGACCTGTGAATAAAAATATGTTCTATCCCGTTGCTTAAAACTAAACCAAGAATATAACAACAAAATAAGCCAAGGGGACAATGAATAATTTCAGTACATTTGCTATAGCTAATACTGGAAGCTCCACATTCCCAAGCACAAGCTCTCCCGCTCCACCCCTGTGCAATTAGAAAGTCTGCTCGTGGCGACGTGTCACTCAACACCACAAAAAGCAAGTGGAGAATTAGTAACGCTAAAGCTACAGATGACAAAGCTGAACAAGTTTACAAGTGTCACTGAAACAGATCAATCCTTTGATTGTACAAAGGCTACTGGTTCAACGGCCTTTGAGAGACCAACAGTTACTGTTGCAATGCTTTTGAAATGGAGGGCTTTCTGCAGGATCCAATGGGTAATTACATACCTTGTATGGAACAAATTATTGCAATTTAAGAATAAAGAACTTGATCCCGCTCCCAATGATGTCAATAGGAAAACATCACTTTCAACATGATTCCACAGTGTGGAAATGTTGTTTCACAAACGAGGACTGACCTCACCCTCTCATGTGTGGTTTTCTGAAGATTCTCGGGCTTAGGACTATAATATGTCTTTAGTTTATTACAAATGTTCACCAGAATGCATTTATTAAAAGTCTGGTGAATGACGTCCACCCAACGTCAGTATTTGTTGTATTCTTTATTCCAAGAGATGCTACCATTTTTTAATAGATTGCGCCTGTTTCTTGAGAATGAACTCACGAAGTAGGAAACATTTTTTATCCTGTTAAACCTTAAGGCTAACAGAGCAGCTCTACAGAAGGAAAAAAAAAAAAAAAAGAAAAAAAGGCCAGTTTTAGGCCACTATATACTGAGCAGTTGTGCACGCTGTGCAACGACACTCCTCAAGTCCACACCTGTAACAGTTTACACGACAGATAATCAGTATTACCAGGATTGGTAGCACTGAGTGGAAAAAGGTTTTGAAAATTGCTCCATCCTGGGCAGCGTAGCGCATACATGCTTCAAAGGTTAAAGTGCAGTTACGTTCCAGGCTGTTTTATAAGCAGATGTCTAAATAAATACTACATACAAAGCAATCTAGCAAAATCTGGTATAATGACCATATTGAAGGTGTTACCGAGCCTGTTAAAAAGAGGACATATTAAATAATGCATGAATGACTTTTAACAACCTTTTTGTATCCGCGTGAAAGTGTCAGTCAGCATTTAACCTCAAATGGTGTTTACCGTTGTTCCGAAATATTAAACTGCTAGAAGTGACACTCATCTGTCTCCAGTCACTAGCTCAGACCTCATCACAAAGGAATTGTTTTGAAAAGCTCCTCCCAAATTATGGTCATAACCCCAATGGTCAGACAGATGGTTTGCAGTAGTTAGGCAAAGAAAACTGCCAGCAGTATTTTCACAAAATAAACCTTATTGTGTCTTCTGTAATTCAAACAGATCTGTGTCAACCTTGGGAGAAGGGCAGCTGCGAATCTTATAGTTTCTTTACATTTTATTTTGTCATCTCATGAGTGACTTGTATTTTCCAAATAAAACATCTTGGGACACTATTCTTAATCTTCACAAACCCAGATGAACACTGCGAATGATGCTTAGCATTTCCAGCCTCCTGCTCTAAGAGATCATGGCCTTGTGTCATTTCTGAATAATCCCATTTTATGCAGTAGTTTCGTCTCATCTCTATTGTTCTTTGTTTTTTGCCATGGCCATTTCTCTTGGCCATCACTCTGCATTACTCTTTCAAATTTATTTTTCCATGGATAAAACCTCCTGGTTTTAAGGATAAGATAGCTGAGGACATTTGAGCTGTTCGGTTTTTTTGGGGGGTGGGGGGGGAAACCGCAACAGCCTCAATGAGTCATGTTTTCTCATACAGTAAAAAATACATGCTCTCCTAATAAAATGAAAACTACATACAGAGATACATCATTTGCCAATAAAAGTGAGAAAACACTTTCTATTGAATGAAAACATACATCTAAACCCCACTAGATTTGAAATTTCAGTCATTGGCAATATTAGTATGTGCCAGAACAAAGTGGATTCATCACTTCTGTTCTGTAGATGTCAAAATTATTAGCGCATTTGGAAAAATCTAAAATTTCAGACTTTTAACAGTGCCAGCTTTTGTTAGATACCTGAAACTTCCTTCATGTATTGCAGGTTGTCTTTGTCAGCTGGTGTAAAAGCTTCTGGGACTGTGGACTTGTGGCACTGGATGATGTATCATTGAGCCTGGGAAGCTGCCAGGCTGCTGGTAAGACCAAGTATATTTGTCATCCAACAGCTCCTACCCTTCTTAGTAAGAGTTCATCCCATACCTTCATTTTCCAAGCCTATCCTACAGCTGCCTTCATCCCACTGTGGTTTCTTTTCTTTTTCCAATAATATTGCATAAATCCTATTTTTGCAGTAGTATACATACAGTGAGGACCAGTTTTTGTTAATAGGGGTACCAGCTAACTCCTAATTAACTTCACTGACTCTGGTGCAGTCGTGTATAGGTGAGTGTTCCTTTTGGAGCATTACAATTTTAAAAAAATCAACAGTCCAACTGAGGGGAAAGCAGTTTTCAACTGGCTTTTAGGAAATGGAAATTTTAGGTCCAGGAATGGACCCAAAAGCAATATTTTCAAAACACAGCATTATTCTTTTTAGTCCAGAAGTACAGTTGTGCAAGACCAAGACACAGTCCCTTATCTGAGCTGCAGTTCTCTAGTGAAGACAGATGAGTCTAACTCTCCCTCCCGTAGTGGGAGGAACTGAATGTTTTTGAGTGAGACTTCACCCTCTGACATGCACAGGCTAACCTCTCTGAACTCACCCAAACTCCCTCTTCTGGGGCTTTTTGAGGTTTGACAATGCAACGATTGTGTCCTAATTTGGAAACCATTCTCATGAGACAGGCACAATCTATAATCCTGTTCTTCTTCAGAATAAAGCCATGCCTTTGGAATGGTGGTGAGGCTGATCTACTATGCCATTTATATTCCCATGTAACAAGAATTTTTTAATGACCTCTTTTGATTGCATTTCATGCATTCAGGCGGCTAACCATTATAGAACAGAAATAAGTCACATGTATAAAATAAGATGCTGTTTTTCTAAACTATTTCCGACAGTTGTCCGTTTTGCCTTTCTGTAGATCCTAAGTAATTTGAAAAGGAACCAAAGGTGCAGAACTGATACTTGGGTATATAGTCACATGGGGACTTGTCACTGATGGCAGCAAAAAAATGACCTAAAAATGCCCCAGAGCCTGTGAGGCATCAAGGCTTTATCCTTCCCAAAAGGTGAAAGCAGCTCAGAGTGCCTGCTCCTGAACTACAAATTCAGATTATGGCAGAAGACCTGACAGAAGCTTCCTGGCAAGCACCTGAATTGTCAACTTTCTCTCTTCTGCATCATCTAATAGAACTGAAATAATGAAAATACTCTAGTAATTGCAGCTCTGTGGTCTGTTGTATGCGGTATTAGAATCTGTGCCAAGGGAACGTAAGAGAGCTAAATGCAGCATTTGATTTCAGATCACAGAAAGTCCAATCTCTGACAAGACTCATTTAATATGCATGTTATACATGCTGGAGCTCATTAAACTGCTTGGGGTGCCACAGTAGTGAAGAAAATTACACTGGTAGAACACATTGCGGAGTAAGAGCTATGACGAGATAATAAACTGTACGAGATGTTTTAAAGAATATTAGTATGTTAGTGAGCCAGACTAGGGCACAGAGTTCCCCAAAGCTGTGAAGAAAATGAAATTAAATTTCATACATCAGTTTGAAGTCAGCTTTTATAAGCTTGTGGCTACTGTAAGTATTGCTAGGTAGATATAAGTGATTTCAGCCGACGAATGAATGCAATACATTGCTTGTGTAAGCTCTCTCTATATCTAATGTATTTGCGGTTTTAAACAATGACCTCTCCTTATAGATCTATTCCTGCCCAATCCTGGAGAGTGTACTTTTGAAAAAGATGAGTGTGTGTTTACCCAAAAGAAGAGAGGTCGTGGGAGTTGGCACCGGAGGAGGGGTCCAACTCCCACTTCTTACACCGGACCGAAAGGAGACCACACTACTGGGGTAGGTGAGTTAAGCTCCACATTGAACTTTCAGAACAGAGATTGATAGTTAATCAAAAATACTTTGACATGGTAACCTAGAACACAGAGAAAGTTTTTACTGTTCTGTTCAGAAAGTTAGGAATCAAATGAAGTAAAGACGTTTCTTAGAGACCCACGGATGGTTTTGAGACTGTGATGTTTGATCTGAATTATCTGCAGACCAAGTGGGTAATTTAGTCTTCATGTTCTAAAGTTGCCCTTTCCTTTGTGAGAAAAAAGGACAGGATGACTCTCCAGACCCTGCACAAAAGCCTTCTTCCAAACCCCTAGCTTATGTGAATATTCCCTGAAACTAAAAGGCAAACAAGTGGTTGGGGGCTCTTCTGCATCAACACTTTCCTGTTCAAACTTAGAAGAAAACATGGATAATAAAAGAGGTCCCACAGACCCTTTGTCTTGAAAATCTGCTCCAAAACCTCACTTGTGTAATTTAAACTATTTAGGCAAGTGAGGCCCCCATTAGCATGGGCAAGCACACAGAAAACTGCATCAGAATTGCCCCCACACCAGGGGCAGTACCTGGTGATTTTTGGAAATGATGAACTGCGTCACTGCGTTAGCTGCTCGTGTTCCTGTGGAAGAGGACCTCAGCAACAACTCCACTGACTTCAGTATAATGGATGAAACTGCCCTAGACTTGTGAACTTTAAATGCTTACATAGGTTTAAACAGGCTTTTGGGACCTTTGGATTTGCCCTCCTTCACAGTGGTTAGCATTCATTCAAGAAGTTATAAAGTCAGTTGCAGACAAGCTGGCTTATTCACAGTAGCCACCTATCCAGTCTCTTAAAAATTTTAGCTGGATTACAAAAGCAGTTGGCCTGCTCAGAAGGCTCACCAAAAGCTGTTATTATTCTGTCAACTGTGATTGAGTGTAAACCATGTTAAGTGCTATCAAGCATAGTTATTTCAGCTGTGTGTATGAAGTCTCACTCTATGCAAGCTTACTTCAAGTTACTCTGGAAAACTGTTTTGTTTCTAGTTAACAAAATAACAAATGCTTCTAGTTAATAAAATAACAAATGTTTTGTCTTGATTCTGATCCCTTTATCTAAAAAGATGGCTTTGTGCACGTTCAGCAAAATCTCCCTTTCCTATCTCCTGGTAGAATTTCTGTAATAGCTGCATCATGAGCAAGGTATGGAAATTGACTAGAGAGATGTAAATTCATGGTGTGTGGGACTGTATGGCCAAAATCCTACATGTGGAATTCAGAATGCAGACGGGAATGTTTCTCGTTCGCTTGAAATTTCAGATCACCAAGAAATTATTTTCTTCCATTGTTAATTCTAAACACTACTGATTCAGGATAGAAATATGAATAGCCTTCAGAGATAAGTAAGTTTTAAAGCTTAAAACTTCTCTTATGTGTTATGAAATAAAAATGAGAAACACTAGTTACAAATCTGATCATATTCTGACCAGATCTATTGGCTAAGTTATCTAAGTGGAAAATGTAGGCTATCTACAAATCAAGAACATTTTCACAATAATGATACCTTTGTACTGTGGAATGACTTTCAAAAGGGAATATTGAAATTCTTGTCCCTTTTCCATTTAAAAATTAGATTACATTAGAGTGAATTAGATGACATACTGTCTGTAAGTCTTTGTTACCCGTGCTGTCCAGTTGTCTGCATCAACCAGACATGTGATGACCAGCTTTAAGATAAGTTAGAATTTTTCCTAATGGTTTTTAAAGTTCATTTGAGAGTTTTTGTTTTGAAATGTGGGTGAGACTCTTGGAGAGGCATCTGTAGGCCATCTCTGTACTGTCTGGCAGACCCTTCTTTTTCTACAAAACATAATCCAAAAGGACTGCATCACATTAAAGTTGCTGGTTGTTTTGGTAGGTAACCAAACTCAATTCCGTAAAAGGATTCAACATTCAGGATTGTTTGATGCTTTCCCCCCACCCCGGTTACTCCCTAGATAATATATTTTATTCCTCCTCTTTCAAATACTCTATATCCCAGCTCTTGCGTTTCCAAGGACAATAACCCTCTCCTTATAGTAGGAGCAACACTTAACAGTTTCTTGCTCAAGAAAAGGAATGGGCTGTTAGCACAATTTTCTTGGTTTCTACGGCAGAAAGTGACTTTAGACCTATATTCGGTTTAGGTAGATGACTGAGTATTCTGAGATCTGAGGCTGATAGCTTGGCTTTAGAACTGGTGAAGCAAGAGAATCTTTTAAGCCTCGCCTCTGACAACAATCTTTATTCCTTATTTCACACATCTCTATGCAGCAAGATGTGCTGAGAAATACATGGATTTGAATGCACAAAACCAAGAGCTGATCTAGTCTTTCCAAGAAGTTTATAATATGATTCAGGCCTTAGAACTAAAGGCAAGTAGTATGAGCTGTAGGTTTTGATTTTTAACTCAAGGAACTTTTAAACATAGTGAACATCAAAATCCTCACAATGGCTTGCACTAGGTTTGGTGTAAATAGCCTTGGGAATTCTCCAACACTATACAAAATTATCTTTTCTTTACAGACTTACAGCTGTAGATGATCTTCCTTTTCACCCTTTCCCTCTACTGCCGCTCACCACCAAACTACAACCTGGGTTAGAGGGGATGTCTTCAGCATGGGCTTGTGTAGATAATAGGATTCTGAGCATGGGCTTGTGTAGATAATAGGATTCTGAGTATCATGAGAGACACCCCGAGCATCCACTGGCTGCTCTTGCTGCTCTCAGCTTTTCTCCTGCCTCACTGATCCTTAGGAATCCCTTCTCCCCCGAGGGCAATCTCACTGCCAGGACTTGTGGTGGCAAAAGGGCAGCTTGTTTTCTCCAACACCACAAAAAGAGAGCAGTGGGACTGCATGAAGAGCTGCTGCAAAATCCCAGTTCGCTGCCTGCTGGCAGAGTGTACATCTCAAGACACAGAACAGCTGCCATATGCAGCAGATGGGAGGGACATGGGGATGCTCCTCAGTCTTCTGACACACCTCAGTTTGCTCCAATTGGAAATAATCGAATGATGGATTTGGGGGGGTGATTAATTTGCCTGCCACCAATTAATGACTAATTTTTCCACAGATCAGAGTTCATGACATCTTTCATTCATTCATGGATTCTAGAGTCTAGTTTCCTCACTTGTGTCTTCACATCTTGGTTACAGAAATAAAAATATTACTGATGTCACATGTGATTTAAAAGCGGTATTTCAATTCATTTGCTTTGTTAACAGCATCAGCTCCAACCATTGCCTAAACTGTACCCTCAGATGTACATGCAGCTGTCTCTGAATTCCAATTAATTGATCAGAATGCATTCCTGGTTTAAGGAATGATTTTTTCTTACTTTGTATTCCTTTCTGTTGCTATGTATTTCATCAGCTATAAACAAGTTTTTAAGTGTTCTTATATTAGCATTCACAACTATTACCATTATTATACTGCACAATTATTATAATATCACAAATATTACAGTTCACAAATATAACCGTCTATGGCATAAAAATCTTTATAAAAATAGTTTAAATCTTTTTTTTTTATATAATGAGCATGTTGAGCATAATGAACATGCTGAGAGAATGTATTCTACTTTGCCAATATTTGCTTGTATATCTTTTTAAGGATACTACATGTATATAGAGGCATCCAACATGGTCTATGGACAGAGAGCATACCTAGTTTCAAGATCACTAAGAGGAGCCTCTGGAAAACAGTGCTTGACATTTTTCTATCACATGTATGGAGCTGGGACTGGATTATTAAGTGTTTATCTAAAAAAGGAAGGTGATGATGAAGAGATTCCTTTGTGGAGGAGGACAGGGGAACAAAGCATCTCATGGCTAAGGGGACTAATAGAATATGAAAGTGATAGAAACTACCAGGTAAGAAAAAACAAACAAAAAGCAGTCAGAATGGAATATTGAACTGAACTATGCGCTAGAATCCAAGTTTTGGGTTGTATAAAAAAAATTAAAATGTTAAAATCTAGATAGCAGTGAATGGACACCTGAACAAGCTGAAGTAATGTGTAATTTCTTACAAATGAAGGTAGGGAGGGAATTATTAAAGCCATTAATAGGTTGCAAGTATGAAAGTAGTTCATTAATTCCTTAATTCAAAACTATTTTTTTGAAGTATTTAAATGCTGTTTTCCCATCATTTCTTGTCAGTAGTGGTAGTTTTTATTTAGATCACTTGTGTAATTTCTTTTCCTTCAGCTGCCTAAAGCCCTGTCTAGATTTGACATAACCACTAAGCTGGGATAAAAATGGCTGCTTCGCGCAGGGTGGTCTTTCTGAGGTGGCACCACAGGCAAGGGATGATGCAAAGCCAGAGCTCTGCCTTTGGTTTCAACAGTGCCGTCATTTCAGTATCGCCAGAGGCAAAGCCTGCTTCAGTTTCTCTGTCAAAAAGGAAGCTGAAATTGCTATTGACTGAAACAGCACTGGGCACAAAACTGCACTGATCACTAACCAAAGATCTTGTGTGGTTGTTTTTAATCACTTTGCCTTAAAAGCCTGGGAATTAATTAGGGAAAAAAAAAAAGAAACCTTTTACTGAAAAGCAAGTTCAGCTTCATCAGTAAGACCACAACATAATATTGTAATGCTTTTTTTTCCCAAGTCTTGCTTGCATATGCGCAACACACAGCGACACATTTGGGCTGAAAAGCAAGACAGAAATGCCACATCACTAGAGAAAACTTATCAGTGGTCTATAACACACAGCAATTTCTTAACAAATTGTGAGAACAAATTTGCTTCCTTCGGCGTAGCGTGCCCAAATTCTCTGACCAGGGCAATCAGTCCACTGATGGGGCATAGAAGTTTCTTCCCAACAAGCAGGCTTTCAGGACACACTAGATCCTTGAACAGACTACATGCATATTATTTTTTTTAGCCCCTGCTCCTGTGGGATTCATGAAAAGCTGTGTCTTTCCTTTACAGATTATTTTTGAGGCGATCCGCGGTGTGTCAATGAGAAGTGACACTGCTATTGATGATATTCTGTTCCAGGCAGGACCCTGCTTAGGTAAGTTTAAACATACATTTTTTCTCTTAGGAGACACCTAGCAATTCACACGATTTTTGTAATTAGACAGATGATACTTCTTCCCTTGAATCCCCACTGAATGAATATGAATTTAGTATCATGCTGCTGGGTTCATGCAGAATTTTTGTCTTCTAATAAGATGTGCGACCATCCTCAAGTCTGGACTAGTAAAGGTGCTGTAACACTTTTTAAAAAACGTATGGCAGTCCCATTTAAATCCAGCATGGTAATTACATTCTGTCTTAGCATTCTTATGCATGATAAAAATACAAATAATTACAGTATTTCCCCCTTCTTTGTATTCTAGAAGTGGAAGAAATTCAATTCTCATCGGGCTATCCTGACAGCTTAAACGAAATTGAGTATTAAATACAGTCTGCTGAAAGGGGAGAAGTGCGTAGAAGATTTGTATCTGAGAGACTGCACAAACTGCCTATTTTAAAATACGTTTTAAGTAAATGCTGGACTGGTTTGAATATGCACCAATGTATAGGAAGAACTCAGAGCACTCATGTTCCTCGCCTTTGCAATAAAATTATTGACTCAGGGCTTCTTAGACTTTTTTTTTTTAATATTTTTTTCTGTTTTGCATGAGGTATCAGTTATTATATAAAGGCTTCCCATTTTGCACAGATAATTCATTTTAATGCCTTTTTTTTTTTTTAACCTTTCTGCTATATAGGTAAAAAGAGGAAAGTAAAGGTACACAATTAAAATTCAATATTGTGTTATCTTAAATCTGCATTCAGTGAATGTTTTTTGTTGGGTACAGATGGATGTTTGTTAAGGAAATTATAAATATTTTGAAATAATAAAGAAAATAGTATTAGCTACTAGTAATAGCTTACAGGTTAAGTGCAATTATTCATGATGACAAATCTCTCTGGGAAACTCTTAACACTCTGCTGGCAATTTTTTGTGGTTTTGTATTCTTTTACTATAACAAATATATTTGTCGTCCTTGCCAATAACAAACTCACTTTTAGTGTTCCAGTATAGCTCAGTGTAAGCTGATGACATTTTGAACTATATGAAATGAAACCCTTTGAAGCTGTATGTTTTTTGGCATACAAGTCTTGGTTTTTTTTTTAATAGATCAGTTTGTACGCTCACAGAGAATGTACTTACACTTTACCCAACCACAGATGCCTTGCGTTTATATTAATGGAAACTGAATTCACACAACTTGTTAATTTTTAAGATTTTATGTGTTTGTGTGTAAGGTTTTGTTTTGAAATTATTATAACTTCCTAATAAAATGTAACTTTGAAAATCATCTTATTGCTCTGTTCTAGACTTTGTAGTTATCGGTGTAACAACTGAACCTAATATAATAGCCTGAATTCAGTATTTTGAATATGAAGAGAATGAAATGTGTGGGTCACATCACCCGAGACAGCTGACAGAAAGCAATCTGATCTGCTGCAGGAAGTTCCTGTATTGAGCCATAGAAATTATTCTTACAGCTACCACACTCAAGCTGTTGCTGCAAGATGTGAGCCCTGAAAAGTGGGAATAGTCTTTGCTCCTTTCAGAACAAACTATACAATTTTCATTACGGCCTATAAGGATCAACAGCACCTGGGACAATCTAGCTCTTGCATCTTTAGTAAGTTGTCATTTTGGTGACACAAATAATTGAAAAGATTGTTCAATTAAATACATTCAGTACTAATGTATTTATCTGACCACACAGATTGAAGCAGTTTATTATTTCCTAGAGACTGAGGAAGAGCCAAAAGGAATTGAAATCTTATCTGCCTATCCTAGCTACCTACAATCCCCATTGGCAGCCAGTTATGAATGCGTCACTCTTGCTATTATTCTGAAAATTAAAGCAAAGAGAAACAATGGATTGTTTCCTAAGAGTCAATACAGTCTTACAGTTGTTCTGTAAAGCTTATGCTTTGGTATCAATATTCAGATCAAATTATCTCAGCAGAAAAAAAGTGAAAATGCAGTGGTTAAAATCATCAGGCTTGGTGGTTCTCCATACTTCTGATGGGACTTTTCCGTAAATGAAATGAAGCACAAAATGTAACTATTGGATTCTTATCTCTAACAATTTATGCAACTCTACTTTACTCCATCAAAGTAATCAGATGGCTAATATGAATAAGAACATAAGCAAAGTACTCTATGTGCTCTCCATCTAGCGTTCTCTAGGGACCTCACTGGTATGATGATTTTGTCAGTATCACTGATGGTAGTATTTACCCATCGTGTGCAAAGCACTGTCCTGACTGCAAAAAAAAAGCCTAAAAGTTCTTCCTTCAATAGGGAATAACAGTACCTTTCCACCCATTTCTGCTGCAGGAATTAAAGAACAGAGGGAGAATTTGAAACGTGGCTTTAAATTACTTTAGTGCCTGCTGAGTATCAGTTTATAAAACAGGAAATTCACAGAGTAGTGAAAGAATGGCTGCAAAACATCTGAAAACTAGGGAAGGTGCATTAAGATTTCTCCACTGGCAAACTTCAGTTTTATGGTAAGACAAAAAACATTCCATCAGCTCTGTCCAAATAAGAAACTCCCCGTGCAACTAATTTATGCCCTGGATCCATTTTTATTTACTATTTCTTCCTTTCTCACTGCTGCAGTAGCTGTACAGGGACTATACAGCAGGGCAAAGAACAGCTCTGAGACTTGCTATACTAGCCCTGTTCACTGTCTGAAAATTTCTTCAAAAGCTACTGGAGAACCTACAAGTAATTGCTTTGATCCCAGTTGTGGCACAGTCCATAGAATGGAAATGAGAAAGAAACCTTCAAAAGCAGCTGTAACACCCCAAACACCAACAGGCTTGTATTTGATTGCTCTAAATGTAGCTTTGTGCTGGAGTGGAACTGAACTTAGTCCTGAGATCAGAGGAAAAGCCCTTTTATTGCCCTCTTGTTTAATACTCTTTTTATTCTTTAAATGTATTCCATTAGTTGACATTTTGTCATTATCCTTATTAATTTCCAGAAAGAGGGCCAAATTCAGATCTCAGTTACACCAATGGAAAACCAGAATAACAACATAAAATATCAGTTATTCTAGCTTTACGCTAGTTATTCTAGCTTTACGCTAATGTAAATGAAATTGTATTCTGGCTGACTATTGTGTCACACCAAAATAAACCTAACATAAATCCAACTTTACAGTCATGAAGCTTCACTAAGACAGCTCAAGCTGAGCACTTAAAGACCTGGCATTTTATCTACCTGGAGCTGAACACAAGCTCACAAGTGTGACTGCCCACACTGAAGAGACCCACTCCTCCAAAAGGACCACTGTGTAAGGTAAAGGGCAGAAAAAAGCAAGCTCTTCCTGCAACACGACACAGTCAAAAGGTTCTACCCCTCACATTTTGAAAAAGAGAAAACATCAGCCTCATCCTACCTCAAGCAAAACACTAGGTGTCAGATGTCAAATTCACTTAATTTTAACATTTCCTTTGGAAAAACATTTCAATTTGTGATTTAAAGTTTCTTAGTTGCTTAAGTATGAAAGAATAAACTTTCAGTACTCCCTTATATTACTTTGATCTATATTGATCTTCTTGCTGTTTTCTTCCCATCCTTCCTCTGTTGTTTTCCTGTCCACCTCCTGTACCTTTCTGTTTTTTCTGAACGTCAGCATTTTGGTCTCTTTCTTAGCCAACTGGATATTCTGCTATGTTCCTTTGCTCACTGCTAAGTACTGTGTTACATCTTGCTGCTCTCATGTTCTGTATTAGATTTTACATCCTCCCTCTCTTCTTTCAAGAACTTCTCTTGGTCCAAGCACTGCCTACTCCGCGGCCTTTGCTGTCTCCTTTCTCCAGCTCTTACCAGCATCCATACTCACCACAGCCCGGAAAATGCTCCCTGATGAATTCTGGGAAAAACAGATCTCTTCAGCAGTCTCTAGTGGGAATACGCTGAAACGGTTCCTTAATCTACCGCCTCCTTCTCTTTTGGCTGGAAGTCACTGTTACTTAATGAGTCCAGCTCTACCCTTTTGGTCTGCAAGCTTAAGACATAACTGATTTAGGAGACTACAATTTTTATTAATTAAGTAAAACATTACCAACTAATAAATCAACTACTATTCTAACTAACTAATAGACACACCAGTGTTACTAATTTACAATGATATAATTTCGCACTCTATTACACAGCTATTACAAAGCCATTATCACAAATCCTATGAATGACACTTTTGATTTTATTATCCTTTCCCCTCCATACCACATAGTACTAGGGTGCATTTCTATGCTTCTCCATTCTTCTACACCAAGTCTTCTGGACATGGACCTGATGGAGAGCCCAGTGGGTTATCCAAAGTGGCTGTCTGATGTCCTGGGGGGTTTGGACATGCAGGTGAGCTTCATTACTATCTGTGGGCATCTGCACTCATACTATTGGAATAGAAGTCCCCTTCATTCTTTAACGAATCTTAATCTTTCTTCCCCCGTTTTTTCCCTGTATCTGCAATAACCTTTTCACTGACCTTGTACCTCCCTTTATCTATCTAAATTCCCCTCAAAGAAGCACCCTGCCTTAAATTACTTTTTCCTCACCGGTCCCAATTCTGCTACATCCATACCCAAAGATGCTGATGTCTTTACCATGGCAGTGTCGGCCTTTACAGGGTATTACAGACACAATTGCTTAGGTACAGGTGGCCTTGCAAGCCTCCGCATGCCAAGTATCTGCTTTATATTGGAAAAATATTGTTTTCCTTGTAAACTTTCTAGGACAAATCACTCTAGTTATGTGTCGATTCCTTGACCTAGTTCCACTTAAGCACAAGCAGTTTCTTATCTCTGTCTTTCAGCAGTCTTTATCAGCTTCCTGGTCCCTCGTAGAAGCTTTGGCTAGTTACAAAGCCTTGTGCTCCAGCAGGAACTTTTGGTCTGAGAGAAAAAGTAAAGCATGTGGGAAAGGTAAAGCATCTGCAGGAGCCTCAGGGACACTGGTGATTGCCCTGCAGTCAAGGTGCCAAAATCTCACACACGTGCATTCCTCTAGGATCACTTCTAAAGGACACCTATCCTTCCGACAGACTTCCTGATCTCTGAAGTAACACACGTAAAAAATGTTTTTCCTGTTATTTTGTTAAAAATTAGGAAAAAGTAAACAAACCCACCAGACAGGTGCTGGAAAATGAAAACAAGAAGAGTTCGTTCGCCCGGACCCCAGGCCTGTCCCCATGAAGGAAGGGGGACACTTAGCAGCTGCCACCCAACCGCTCGGCTGTGCTGCCACCTCGTGGGAAGGTCGCCACC